GTTTTTCTATAACTTATTTGGCACCAAAACCTGAGCTGAAAAAAAAAATTCAAGGCTATTTATAGTTTTTATTTATCCTATTTGGTGTAAATATATATGCATTTTGCTACAAATATTTTAATATGCTTAATTATAGGATACTGCCCCAGACTTCACTGGGTTGTATTTATTAACTTCCTAAAACCTGAAAAAATCTAAATTGTGAAATACATCCAGCCCCACAGGTTTTGGATACGCTTATGGACCTACATTACCTTTGGAATCTGAATAATTTCTATTTCCTTAAAATGAATGGCATATTCTTAAATAACTATAAGCAAATAAGACCCTAAACTTAGCAGTAGAGAATTTTAGGATGAAGAAAACATTCCCCGGTACAGTCAGGTGCATTCCCAGAACGATCCTTTCAAATAAAATCCATTCATAATAATTTATGTATGTGTCATAGTAACAGGATTTTTCAAACTCTAAACAAGGCCTATTCTCTTTAGATCACAAATAAATGATTAAGAATCTTGGGGGGGGGGCATTAATGTGTCCTCAATCATGCATATCACATCGTTACAGAACTTCAGAGCTGGAATAGACCCTTGAGAACTAATCTAAATTATTATTCCTTTCCTTCCACACTGTTTAACATCCATAAATTTATTCTCCCCTATGAGGTAAGAATAACCTGCTCTAACTTGTCCTTAAGACTCTGTCTATAGGAACACCCTGTAGGTGAATATGAATAAACTGGGTGGAGTACACCAACAGATCTGGGATCTAAAAGGATGACTTGAACCTAGCATAATAAATCTTACATGTTTAGCAAATGCCTCAGCTTATTCATTAAAAAACAACAAAAAATTTCTAAGTCCAGAATAAATGAAGATTCATGTAGCACATGTTAAAAAAAAAAGAAAAAGAAAAGAAGACTTAACTATCTTAATGGACTCAATGAGTCAACAACATAGTGCGGCTGCCAAAAAAGTTACTCTTGATTAGTAATAACTACATCAACAGTAGTATAGCATCCAGAAAGAACGAGGTATGCCCTCTCTGCTACAGCTAGTCAGAACACATCTGGAGTATTATGTTCAGCTCTGTGTTACACACTTTGGGAGAGACACAGAAAGATTTTAAAAGGTCAGAAGTGGAGTGACCAGGAGAGTGGGGGAATATGAAACCATGTCACATAAAGAACAGTTGAGGAGCTGAAGGTATTTAGTCCAGACTCGGAGGGAACATGATCACTGTTCCCAAATCCCTGAAGAACTGTCTTGACACAGAGAGAGCAGACTTGTTCTCCAAAGGGCAGAACCAGAACCAGTCTGTGTTAACCACAGGGAGAAATATTTCAGCTAAGTCTATGGAAGTATTTCCGGAAATGTAGAGCCCTATTAGGAGGTAGTGGTAACGTTATATCGGGCCCTAAAGATCCATATTTTTTTTCTCCCGTAATCTCACATTCAATCCTGGCTGCCACAATCAGAAAGTGCAAGGACCCTTTTTCCTTGCATCTGCGCTAGAACCTTAGCTGCAGACATAACTGCTCCAGCTGTCAAATAGATGCATTAAAGGCCCATAACCTTACAAATCAAACATGTGTCATCACCTCAATCTCTTACTGCTGTTATAACTATTATTCTCTAGTATCACAGCCTCTCCTTTCACCCTATTTAAAATGTGCTACCTAACCAACCAGCCAAATGTTTTGCCAGGTCTGTGGGAGAAAAAGTGCCTACTTACTGGGCAATTAGTTTCAGTTTGTGATCAGTGTCCCTGTAAATAAAAGAGGGCCCAAACTGAGAGGCGGGCAGGAGCTCTTACCTAGTCCTCCATGAAAGAAATTCTTATTAATTCAAAGAGCAACCAGAAGACCCATCCCATCACATAATGTATTATCAAAGGCACTCAGTACTTAGAGGAGCATTAAAATAAAACCCCTGTACAACCATTTTCCCAAATGCCAGGGAATCCAACTTTGCAAGCCAAACCAGGTCTCTCAAATTCAGGTAGAAGTTCTCCTTGTGTCAGAGAGATGTGCTTACCCTACTGTTTGAAGTAAACTAGAACCCATGCTCAGATAAAAAGGCTGCACCTGATTATATCACTGTAAAGCTAAAACTGCCTACTTATATGCCCAGTCAGTTCAGCCACTGAGAATCAGACACAGGCAATCCAGAGTGAATTCACAGAAAAGTACAAACTACAGAAAATTTAAAACACAAGAGTTACCAAAGTTGGGCATCCTCCTAAGACTTTTGTGACCCAAAGACCACCACAGACATAAGTATATGTTAGTTCTTGAAAAACCTTGAACAATTCATATGGCAAATATAATCAGTCTTGCTTTACTTCATCTAAAATTTATTTAGAGTTTATAAAACTCCAGCCAAAGTATTAGAGAATATAATATATATAATGGGCTCAACACATTCTTCTCTGTGCTTTTTATAAAGTATCCATAATAAGAGACTAATTAAGTTATGATACATTTCTACAACACAAAAGGCAACTGTTAAAAATAAATAAATAGCCAAAACCGGTTTGGCTCAGTGGATAGAGCGTCGGTCTGTGGATTGAAAGGTCCCAGGTTTGATTCCAGTCAAGGGCATGTGCATTGGTTGCAGGCACATTGTGGGGGGGGTGCAGGAGGCAGCTGGTCAATGTTTCTCTCTCATCGATGTTTCTAGCTCTCTATCCCTCTCTCTTCCTCTCTGTAAAAAAATCAATAAAATATATTTAAAATAAATAAATAAATAAAGGTAGACCTCAGTACTAACATGGGTGTGGTTAGGGGGAGCCCATGATAGTGAATAAGCAAGTTGCAAAACAATATATACAGAATTATTTCATTTAATGTTTTTTAAAATGATTTTATATAAACTCATGCACAGGATTTTTAAAAATTTTTTAAATATACATTTTTTTTTATTTCAGAGAGTAAGGGAAGAGAATGACTTAGATACATCAATGATAAGAGAGACTCACTGACTGGCTATCTCCTGCACACTTTTTACTGGGGATGGAGCCCACAATCCGAGCAGGTGCCCTGACAGGGTATCAAACTGTGACCTCCTGGTTCATAGGTCAACCACTGAGCAATGCCAGCCAAGCTACACACAAGATTTTTTAAAAACCCTGTGTGTAAGTTCGTATATACCCAGAAAAATGTCTGAAAAAAAGATCAAATTATTAACAGTAATAACCTCTAGGGACTGACTGGAACCTGGAGGCAATAAAGGAATGACTTTCACTTGGTCCTTTGAGGACCTCTGGTTATTTGTAATATTTTTTGCAAGTTATGGTTACATTGTGATTTAAAAGTAACAACACAAAAATAATGAAAGTAAAATGACATCAGTTACACAGACTTATTTATCATATACTAAGCCTTCAAAATAAGAGATCTTGCTACTTAAATCTACTGCATGCTTCAAATTCCAGAAAATCTAATTCATCCTTTTTCTATTATACCTTACTAAAGTAAATAAAAATCACAAATCCCTACTAGATTTCTCAAATGTTTTATAACACACACACACAGCCTCATCATAAGGATAACTAACACACACGTTTATTACTGTCCTTAACTCTGCACCAGGAACTGCTCTAAGCACTATAAATGTATTAACTTATTTACCCTTCACAGAAATCCTATGAAGAGTGAAGTGCTGTGCTATTATTATTTTCATTTCACAGGTTAGAATTCAAACCTAAAAATAGGTTCTCCTGAATTCTTACTCTCAACCACTTGCTTCCTGTTTCTCAATAATATGTCAATCTCTCCATTCGAAGGCCAAAAAAGATTATATTCCAGCTGGTTAATACACTCCTGAAGCTAGGAGAGATGCAATCTTGGCTTCTTCTGAGCGAATAATCTGCAATGCCAAGCTTGAACTCAAGATTCAAGACTGTATTAAGACTAATAATCATGTGAGAAACTCCACAAATTCAATTACAGTCCAAAGTCCATACCTGACTCCGCAGTCAATCACTGAGCCTAAGAATTAGGTCAGAGATCCATTAATGTCAAGTACATCTAGGCAAACGGTTTGGACAAGGTAGGTGTTATTTGTTTAGTTCCAAGCCCATTTTAGATTTTTTTTTTTTTAAAGGGAGAGAATAAAAGTAGTCTCTGACTTTGCTTGAAGACTTCAAACCAGCAGGAAAAGCCTTATTTTCCATGTGGACTCAAACAGAAATTAGCATTTATTGGCATCAGCAAATTGAACATTCTAGCTTAAGGGAAAGAGGAAAAAAAGGACATCCCTGCTTAAATTGTATTTTTGTCCAGGCATACTGACCTTGTATCTGTGGGAGAGGGAGAAAAAAAAAATGGTGCAAGGAAGGGATTTAACCTAATTTATAAATGTGCTCAACCTAGATACACACCTGTCCCAAATGACCTCCTGAATCTGGGAGTGGGGGCGTTCACAATATCTCTTTTTCTCTTTTGGCCTCAAGTGGACTGTACTATTTGTAAACAAAATGCTCCGGGTGCCCCTTCCACCTGCCACCCGCACGCACATCTGATATGTATATAAACAAGGAGAAACGAACCAGAAACTGGAGCTTCGGGAGGAACCCCTTATAGGCAGCTTTTGACTCATTGGTTGCCGGAGGTATTGGACTGGCTTGCGAACTTCCCCCAAATGACCCAGGCGGAGGGGCTCAGGATGGGCGAACCGAACCCAAAAGTTTGTGCCCATTCCGGGTCTCTGACAAAGGCCAGAGAGCCCCGTTTGGGAGGAGGTGCGATGCCTCCCTCCCAGCCCAGGGGGACAAAAGACTTCCCAGGCTGGGAGTGGGAAGCAGGTTGGCTAGAGCTTGTCTCTCCTCCACCCCCACCCCCCATTGGGAGTCCAGATCTGGGGAGCCTCTGGGACAAGAGATGGTCCATTCCGGCCAACAGCCCAGCCTAGACCCAGCGGCAGGGGCAGGGATGGGCAGCCGCTGAGTCGGTCGGGCCGGCAGGGCGGGCGGGCGGGCGAGGAGGCGCTGGGACTCACCTGGGGGAGGGGGAGGCGGCGAGGGGGCCGCGGTGGCAGGTGGGGTGGGCGGGACGCTGCTCCGGGGGACGCCGGGCGTCGGGGTCGGCGGAGTGGTGGGCGCCGGCACCGTGGTCGCCACAGGGGAAGTCGGCGCCGGGCCAGTGGTCGCCGAGAGGGTGGTGGGCGCGGGTCTGGTCGTCGGCCGGGGGGTGGTCGCGGTGCTTTCCCCCGCCACGGGGGCGGCCGACGAGGGGCCGAGCGGCGCCGGAGAGGTGGTCGGAGCGGGTCCGGCCGTGGCCCGCAGAGGGGTGGTCTCCGGGGACCCGGCTGAAGAGGACGCCGTCAGGGGCTGGTGGACGGTAGTGCGCGGGGGTCCGGTCCTCAAGGTCTGGGCCGCGGTGGCCGTCGCCTTAGAGAAGGGGGGAGTGGGCTCGCCTTCCAGCCCCGGGCTCCGCGACGCGTCCACCTGCCCCGCGGCCCCGCTGCCGCCGGTGACATTCCCCGCCGCGGTTACCGAGGCGGCGGCGGCGGCGGCGGCGGCGCAGCACAACAGGGCGAGGCCGCCCAGGCTCGGCAGGCTCCTCATGGCGCGCTCGACTCCGCCATTCATTCATTCAGTCATTCGGCCGGTCAGTCATCTTCTCTTCCCGGCACTCGGACGGGGGAAGCCGCCGCAGCCGCCAGCGCCAACGCCACCCGGCGCACCATCGCCACCTCCCTCTGACAGGCGGCCGGCCCCGCGGGCGGGCCCCAGCGCGGAGGGAGCGACCCGGCCGAGCGCGGACAGCCCGCCCTCTCCGATTGGCAGCCCCTTGCGACCAATGGAAGGCCACGCTGTCCCACGTGACGCAGCCGCTCCCCAGCCTCTTTGTAGCTTCACGGGCCAATCAGAGGGCGTCAAGAGGAGGGGGCGGTGCTAAGGCTGGAGGAGGGTGGCGCGAGCCCCGCTCCGGCGGATTCGGCTCTCGGCGGCGCGGCTTTGTCTGCCCGAGGAGCGGGGCGCGGGCCGCGGGCACCGGGCGCCGCGGAGCAGACAAAGGACGCGCCCCGCGCGGCAGGCGCCGGGCCAAGTCGTCTGCTCCACTGGGCGGCGAGCGCGACCCGGGGCGGGGATTGGGCTCTCGGGAGCATCCTGCCCTCTCGAACAATGGGGCGCCGCGCCGCACCCGGGTGGGGAAACTGGGCTGGAACCCCGGCGACGGGCGAGGGCGACAGCAACAAGGATGTAGAGTTCAGCGTTGCCTCTGCTGCTCAAGAGAGCCTGGCCTCGGCCGTGCGAGGTCTGCGCTGCCACCCCCATTTCAGAGATGGGGAAACTGAGGCCGCTGTTGAGGGCCTTATTGAACCTGCTTGGCACCTGCTGTGGGCCAAGCTCTGTGCCGTGCAGGACAGGGCATCTAGAGCTCCCTGCATTGGGGAGACGGACGGACTCACACACACTCTCCCCAAAACCCGGGGGTAAATAGGACCGGGCAGGTGAAACCTCAGCTCCTTGTCTCTTGCTGAGTGGTTTTGTTCCCAGAGCGCAGTTTTTCTCACCTCTCAACTGAGGATGTTAACTCCCCTTCACCCCACTGTCCACACAGAAAGCTGCTGTAAGCATTATGTTCTGAGAGGGCTTACCCCCAGTAAACCTTTATTAATGCTACCTCCTCTCATCGTCCTGGGCGAAAACAAGCCGCTCGCCACAGCCCCGTGGTGTCCCGAGAGCCGCCAGCCTGATGCAGGGATTGGGGCGGGTCTGATAGCGGAGTGTGACCCTGGCTGACACTAAAACCCTGAATGAGGTTGGAATTCTGGCGCGCAGCCTAGCACCCTCCGCCCAGGATCCAGAGCTTTCTCAGCGCTGCAGCCTCCGCTCAGCAGCTTTCAGAGGAGCCAGGCGGGGCGGGTTTGTCATCTGACTGGGCTTAGTCCCAGCCCCGCCGTCAACCCGGTCCTGGCCCCGCTAGGTGATGCTTGCCTTTGTGCATGGCTCCCCATTAGTCACTGGCCTCCAACCAGAAGGGCAGGATGAGATTTGCGTGTGAACCTGCATATATGTTAATGAGAAAATAAATTTATTTACCTGCAAGAGTAGTGGGTGAGAGGGAAGAGGATATGTACATCCTCCTGAGTCTTTGTCTATGGATATTATATGCATTTGTGTGAACTTATGGGAACCATTATCTATTTTTGTATGTTGTGTAATAGTATGTGTTTTATGTGTATTTTCGGTGTTTGTTTCATTTGTGAGTATGAGTGTGTTTTGATAGGTCATCTGTGCATGTAAGGGGGGGGGCAAGATAAGGGAGATGTATGTGGGTATTCTGGTTTCAGAGCAATGTTTAGCAAACAAATCAAGATTGTTTTTACCTCTCTCAGGACAAACAGAACATGCCCCTCCCAATATTCTCTAACTTGTTCTTCCTCTTCCTCAAACCTCAACCAAAGTTCCGTATCCTCCAAGACTTTTGTGATTCTCGGAGTGAGAATTAGCCTCTCCATCCCCATTTTCCCACTGTCCTTTGTTTATTCATTGATTACAACGCTGGTCTATCAGTATGTCTCTCCCTGCCTCTTCCTGAAAGGATTAAGGATGGCTTTCAAAAATATACAAGAAAAATTGAACTTCTCACATGGCTTTATTACTTCTTACAAGCATGCATCTGCCTACTACTAAAACTACTAGACCTTGGGACTTATGTCTGTCTCTGTTATTAGGTTACTCTCTCTGTTCTCAGTCTAGCAGGGGTAATACATATGGGTGAGTGTTAATCCATGCTGGTTAAATTGAATTAAACTGAAAATTAATCCAGAGTGCTACAGGAAGAGCTTGTATCAGACAGATCTGGGTCATGACTCTGCCAGCTATGCCACCTTAGAAGAAACTTTGCACCTCTTTGCACCTCTCAGTTTCCTCATCTATAAAATGGGACCAATAAATTCTGTCTTACTTAGCTGAGCTAAGGATGCTAGAGATTGTTTTTATAGAGCCTGGCACGTGGAAGATGCTAGATCCGTGTAGGTTTGTCTTTCATGTATACCAGTGCTGACTTTGAGCCTTACTGGCTGAAGAACCGCAGCAGAATCTCTGTCCCATAACTTCCCCGTCAGGAGACATGGCTTGACAGTTGCCCTACCAGGTAGTCCCAAGCGATAGTTGAAAATGCCGGGTTGACCTTCAGCTGTGCTACATCCGAGATGCTCTGGCAGAAGGAGAGAATTGCTGATGCAGCTTCTTTGCCTGGAGAAAGACTAGAAGACCTTGCTGAAGTGAGCCAGGCCAGCTCTGGGCCTCACACAGGGATCACCCATGCTTCTATTGTGGGTTAATTACTGTGTAATGTGTGCAGAGATATTAAGTTCTTTTGAAAGGCAACTTAAGTGTATTAATTTTATTCATTCAACATTTAATTCTTAAATTTCTTGCTCGGCCTTTTACTCTAAACCGCAAGATGGCCGAAGCCGGTTTGGCTCAGTGGTAGAGCATCGGTCTGCGGTTCGATTCCGGTCAGGGGCATGTACATTGGTTGGGGGTACATCCCCTGTGGGGAGGGGTGCAGGAGGCAGCTGGTCGATGTTTCTCTCTCATCGATATTTCTAACTCTCTATCTCTCTCCCTTCCTCTCTGTGAAAAATCAATAAAATATATTTTTTTTAAAATAAAATAAAATAAACGGCAAGATGATTTTTAACACTTTTCTTAGGGATACTGTTTTACTCTGTTTTAAAATTAGAAATACCTTAAATATCCAACATCAGAAAAAAAGTATTGTATCTTCAATTTAATTTATAATATAAAGTCATTGTAAGAGTGGCTAAGAAGACCATATAGCAACTAGTAATACTAGATCATTGATCTCTTACTAGGTGCAAGACATTATATTAAGAGATACACATGAAATATTCTGTTGAATTCTAAGAAAAAACCCAGGAAGTAGATACTGTTATTATCCCTATTTCACAGATAGAGAAAATAGGGCACAGAAAGGGTAAGCCACTTGCCCAAGCTCACTTAGTAAGGATGGCTGGCTCTAGTGATTCCCTTATCAACTGTGCTATAAAAGAAAAATGCTTTTGATGTGATGGTAAGTAGAAAAGAGAAAATAAAAATTATAGTCGTGACTCTGTAACTAAATGTTGCCTGGCACTTCCTGTTGCTTCAGAATTGCAGCTAAAGCTCAGGGCTCTAAAGAGAGCTGTCAACCCACCCAGGACACGTGGGCCTGGACTTAATGAGGGGCCACAGAACAGCAGGGGTCAGGGAGGGCCTTGTCGAAATCCATGAGCAGCCCGACCTTTCTCCTGTAAGGCAAAGGGCCCCATTTGATTCCTCTTTGTACACTGGGCACCTAGCACCGTGTCAAATACACAGAAGTGGCTCAAGAATTGTTTATTGAACTAAATGGAATCGTACGATGGGACAGACACTGTTCCAGGAATTTTGCTTTCGAAAAGCATTGATGCCCCAAAGGGAGAGCTCTCACCGGTACTTACAAGAAAAGGAAACTGAGCTTCGGAAAGGTTAAGGGACTTGCCCAACTTCAAAGCCCAGGTTCTTCTCTACACCCCACAGTCCTTTGATGTGGCCACTGTGCAGCACATAGTAGGGGGCTGATGATCACATACTGAGAGAAAGCATCCATGCCCACCAAATCTAGAACAGAATGGAAGCAAAGAGAAGCTTTGGGAGGAAGAAAAGAAGGCATAATAATATAATAGATGTGGCTCAGCAAAATAACTTCATCTCCCAGATTCCAGTAAAACACGAAAACTTTGCCCCTCCTGGTTTCATTGAGACAGCGGTGCTGACATGGACTATTTCTAATCCTGCCGGAGCCCAGCCACATATCAGATGTGGCTAAATTCAAGGTTTGGCATCGCCGTTAGGATTATGAGGGCCACTATGAACAAAGTCTGCCCGGAAAAGGACACTAACAGACAACTCACAGGGAAACACAAGTGGCTAAGCAGCATGAAATACCTGTATTGCGCATTCAACTTAAGTAATCAAAGATTTGCAGATGGAGACAACGAGTTATCATTGTTTAACCTATTGGTTTGCCAAATATTTAAAACAACTGGTAATACTTGTTGCTGGCAAGGGAGTGCCTCACGCAGTTGATAGGAATGTAAAGCGATAGAACCTTCCCAGACTAGGAAACCTTGCAGAAGTGATCCAAGCCAGCCCTGGGCCTCACACAGGGATCGTCCATGCTTCTACTGTGGGTCCTGGAAAATGCTTGCACTCTTTTGACTCACTTCCACTTTCAAGAATATATCCAGCCGAAACCGATTTGGCTCAGTGGTAGAGCGTCGGTCTGTGGACTGAAGGGTCCCAGGTTCGATTCCGGTCGGGGGCATGTACATTGGTTGTGGGCACATCCCCAGTAGGGGGTGTGCAAGAGGCAGCTGGTCAATGTTTCTTTCTCATCGATTTTTCTAGCTCTCTATCCCTCTCTCCTCCTCTCTGTAAAAAATCAATAAAATATATATTTTTTTAAAAGAGAATATATCCAAGAGAAATAAATAAGCAGATGTAAATAAAGATTTATGTACAAAAATGCTCATCGGGCCGAAACCGGTTTGGCTCAGTGGATAGAGCAGGAACTCTTCTTTATAACTTGT